TCATACATATTAATTTTCTTAGAAAACGTCTCAATGCATTGGCTTCTCTTTTCAAAGAATTTAACAGTTATTCGTACATGATAATTTAATTTCGAAAATACATAGAAAACAAAAGTACAAAAATATTTAATAATACAAAAAAAGAGGTTAGATAATAAATTAAATAAATTAATTAATAAACAAAATTTAGTTGTATATCCCCAAAACAATAAAAAATGGGTAATTAATTTGTCAAAAGTTAGCCTTCCACAAGAAGTTACAAATATTGTTTCTTTAGGTGAGAGACATAATTTGAAAAATAGATTATCGGGAAAAGACATTATAAATAGTATAAAAAATTTCGAATATGCAGTTAGTAAATTTAGTAAAAGAAATAATAATTCTGATTTGATAATAGATGAGAACGTAGACATAGAACCAAATAACATTTCAAAATTGAGAAACATTCTAATTAAGAATATTGAATTCGCTTGTAGACAAACAAATCATATTAGTACATACGAGAAAAAAATTACTAAAATTACAAAAAAACTCAAGAATTTAAAAAAAATAATAATAATTTATTTTTCACACGATCAGATAAGGGTAATGTTTCGGTATGTTTGAATAAGGATGACTACATGAGAAATATGGAATTATTGTTGGTCAATAAAGATACATATAAAATAGTTGCAAAAAATCCGTTAAAAATTCTTCAATCTAACGTTTATCAGATATTATCACAATTAAATGAGGAAGAATTCTTGGATCAGAGATATAATAGACTCAGTCTCACACAAACTAATACATCTTTAGCGAGAGCGTATGGGTTACCTAAAATACATAAAAGTGGTTGTCCACTTAGACCAGTTATTTCACTAATAAATAGCCCCACTTATTTTCTTTCAAAAGTATTAGATAAAAATTTGAAAAAATGTATTGAGCCACCCAAATCATATATTAAAAATAGTTTTTCATTGATAGATAAGATTAAAAAAGTATATATTCCGGATGATTATATTTTACTTTCGCTCGATGTAAGTTCCCTTTTTACGAACATTCCCTGTGATTTGGTTATCAAGAGTTTAGACAAACGTTACAATAGAATTAAATCACACTCAAAAATTCTATTCAATATAATAATTAACATTACCAAATTCATATTTGATAATACTTATTTTTGTTTAAATAATAAAATATATAAACAGATGTTTGGTTCTCCAATGGGATCCCCAATATCGCCATTATTTGCAGATCTAGTCATGGATGACTTGGAAATTTATTGTTTGGATCAACTTGAAAAGGATTTTGACTGTGTTCCAATTTTTTATTACCGTTATGTTGACGACACGATTTTGTGTATAAAAAAAGAACATGTAAAATCAATATTAGACACTTTTAACAGCTATAACCGACATTTGAAATTCACATATGAAATAGAACAAAATAACAGTATAAACTTTCTTGATGTAACTATCTGCCGAAATTACAATTCTATTTATACTAATTGGTATGAGAAACCACTTTCGGCAGGCAGACTATTGAATTTCAATTCTAATCACACTATTCAACAAAAGGAAAATATTATTTCCAATTTAGTTTATAGAGCAGTACGTTTATCGGACCCGACCTTTCATGATGCTAATATTGAACAAATAAGAAAAATATTATTACAAAATAATTATCCGATTAATTTCATAAATTCAAATATCAATCGTAGACTAAGACAACATAGATACAAACAAATCAAAGGTATTATTGAATCAATTCAGAATAATAAACAATATAATCAAGACAATATACTACCATTGCCGTTATGTGAGAATTTTTATTATAATTATAATTCTATCTTTAAGAAATTTAAAATAACATGTATTCCTATTTTAAGCAAAAAACTCAATAATATAATTAAACTAGGCAAAGACAAGTTGTTAAAGTGGGATGAAACTGGAGTCGTCAGTTCCAATCGGGAGATGCTAGAGAGCAGACGTGTTTACAAACGCTCCGCTTCTGCACGAATTCCAAAATCGTTCACGGGCTTAGCCCAAGTCTTCGCGTATCGTGTAATTAGTATCGCGAACTGTGTGCACGTGATAGTGTACAAATCAACTAAATTAAAATGGAAAACCAAGACAAATCTCAATCAACTGTAAAAAATCTACCTACCTTTGTCATACCGAACCAAAAAACGTACGCCAATGCTACTCAAAATTTACTGAAAAAGGATCAAGGCATCTTGTTGGACTGCGTGGAAGGATTAACTTTAACTGACTACACCTGCGCCGTTGGAGATCTAGTTCAACCTTCTAATGTCATTTACGCCTCACGCATATCAAATAATCGAGTATGTATCTATTTGATCAACAAAGAAATCGCTTCCTCATTCACGAACAAATATAGTTCCTTGAAAATTCACGACAAAAACGTAACCATCAGACCACTAATAACTAAAAGTAAAAGAATCATCTTTTCCAACGTGTCTCCAGATATTCCTAACTATATTCTAGAAAATATTTTAGAACAACTCGCCGTCAAACGCCAATCTCCTGTTTCTACATTAAAAGCGTCTATCAGTAAAGAAGGATACGGACATGTTGGTAGTTTCAGAAGACACGTATATGTTAATCCAGACGACGTATTAAAAATTCCAGAGCTATTTAAAATAAACTTTAACGAAATAGACTACTACATATTTGCCGGTCCCGAATTCCTTAAATGTTTCTCCTGTAATCTTGAAGGTAACTTGGCGAAACACTGCCCAAGCTCTAGTACACAAGCCCTCGCGCAACCACAACAAATAGATCGAGAAGAAAATTTTCCGTCTATCTCAAAAACATTCGATGTGTCTACTCAACATAATGCAAAGACTAACAACGTAACTAATTCTAATACCAACCTGGTTCATACAAGAGAGACCAGGAGCTCTGCCAAACGCGACCATTCAGTAATAAGCTCCACCGATTCGGAAGAAGGAATCACTTTTCCAAGTCCAAGCTTCATACTCTCAACTGACAAAAATACGGCTAAAAAAGGCAAAAAAACTCAATCTGAAGACTCAACTGCAAATCAAGACAACCAAATGAAGTCTCAAATCGCAGATAGCCTAGACACACAGCTGTCCTCAATTAAAAAATATCTGAACAAAGGAAATACATTATTGAACTACGACGATTTTAAAACTTTACTAGTAGAAATAAAACAAGCTCAAAATCCATTAGATATTATATCCCGATACAGCAATGACTTTAAAGCATTTTCTAAATTCCTAAAAGACGACATACACGCCAACGTTAAAAATAGTAGTATTAAAAAAAGATGTACACTGCTTCTAAAAAAAATCCAAAACAACTACAACACTTACTCTATCACTCCCAATGACACACCTAGCCAATCTGACGCTGAATAAATTAAAAAAAAAAATAATAATAATAATAATAATAATAATAAATAAATAAATAAAAATGGAGGAATTAATAAATAAGGATCTTAAAATAGCATTCTGGAACTGCCGTAGCATAAACCAACGTAAGGAAGATCTCCACGCCCTACTCGATCAAGTAGACATTCTTGCTTGTGTCGAATCTTGGCTGACAGAAGCAAACCATCTCCACTTCCCCGGCTTCAAGACATTTCGAAAAGATCGGAAACACGCACAAGGAGGAGGAATTCTGATCTTAATACGCAACAATATTGCCTACAAAGAAATAGAAGAGCTTACCTGCTCTGAACAATCCATAGAACTACCAGGTATAAAACTTACAAATATCAAACCTCAAATTGACCTCTTAGTCTGTTACAGAGCTCCGGGCATCACCCTCAGTCAAACTGTATGGGATGAAATATTTGATAAAATTGATAAAAATAAATTTACCATTTTCTCGGGGGACTTCAACGCCCACAATACTATTTGGAATTGCAATAAAACCGATCTTAATGGAGAAAGACTGCATGAAAGTCTAAGCAACTCAAATATGTTCTTACATAATTTTGACACAATTACCCACGTCACTCCACACAGTTGTACATATTCCAATTTAGATCTTATTTTCTCATCAACCAATTTTGGGTACAAAATAAATACAAAAGTAATGGAAGATACCCTGAGCTCTGATCACTACCCGATTATAATCGACGTATCCATTCAAAAGAACTTTTTTTACAAAAAAACATTTAACCTAAAATCAAAAAGAACGAACTAGGAAAAATTCCACGAAGAACTCGAAAATAATTTCTCCCAATTCTTCTCACTCGAATTCGAAAATCTTATCGCAAAAGAAAAATACTCAGTATTTACAAACATAGTCTCCAATGCTCTTGTATTTAGCACTCCCGAAAAAAGAATTGTTAGCAAAAAAATTCATAGAAATCCAGTTAGGTGGTGGGATCAGGAATGCGACAAAATTAAAAGACTACGCCAAGCCGCTTTTAAGAAATGGAATTTTTCAAAAACTCAAAAAGACTACATTGAATATAAAAAGATATGCGCGCTAGCTAAAAAAGAATTCAAAAGAAAAAAAAAAAGAAAATCTGATACTCTTTGCAGAACAACTCAATGCTAGAACCGATCCTAATTATGTATGGCAAACATCGCGAATACTAAAAAATTCATGGATTAAAAATAAGCCTCAACACGTATCCGAGAACCACCAAGAACGAGAAAAAATTGACATAGCCTTAAATAAAATCAGCCCCCCGTGGTGTATGACAAACCCAGATTGGCTCCCAGAATGCAATAATAACGATTTCCTTGACTCCCCTTCAACCTTTTAGAATTTAACGTTGCCCTTGAATCAAAAAATCATCATTCTTCCTGCGGTCTAGACGGTATAGATTATGACGTACTTCAAAGATTACCACTAAAATATAAACTAATTATGCTTGACATATTAAATGAGATACTCGAAACTAATTCATTTCCAGAACAATGGCTTAAATCTTATGTTCATTTCATTAAAAAAGCAGACGGCCAAAATGTCAGGCCGATCAGTCTTTCGTCATGCTGTTGTAAACTTTTTGAAACTATGGTAAAAAACAAGATGCAATGGTGGCTCGAATTTAATAACATCCTTCCCAAGAGCCAAACTGGATTTCGAAAAGGGCAATCTACTACAGACAATTTGACCGGTTTAACCTTAAATGTAGAGGATTCTTTTAGTAATAAAAAAGACCTCCTTGCTGCATTTCTGGATGTACAAGGCGCATTTGACAACGTGAATATTAATATTCTCTTGCAACAATTGGCAACAATTGGCTGCCATCTTAAATTGGTCAAATTTATCAAATTCCTAACACAAGAAAGGTACATTTTTACTGAAATTAATGGAAAAAAGTTTAATATTATCTACAAGGGAGTTCCACAAGGCGGCGTCCTCAGTCCTCTTTTGTTCAACATATATGTTGCCCAAGTTTGCGAAAATCTACCTAAAACTGTCACTGTCTCTCAATTTGCTGACGATATCGCCCTGTATTGCAAAAGAGGATCCACTAGCACTAGCAAACGTCTACTCGAAAAAGCTATTGAAAAAGTTAACCAAAACCTAAACAATTTAGGACTTGAACTCTCTGCACATAAAACTATTTTCATTCATTTCAACCGTCGTAACATAAAACCAGGCGAAACTGAAATAACGGTAAATAACACACCCATAAAATCTAGTGAAACGGCCCGATTCCTGGGTATCACTTTTGACTATACACTGTCTTTCAAACAACAGACCAACTTAATTATTAACAGAGCCTCTAGAGCCTTAAACATCGTTAAATTCCTTCGAGGTACTTGGTGGGGCGCTCATCCCAACATACTAACCCTATTTTATAAAAGTTTTGTAAGATCTATCATTGATTATGGATGTTTTATTTACTTCCCCACTCAAGCTGACGCCCTGCTAAAGCTTGAACGAATACAATACAAGTCAATTAGATTAGCTTTAGGATACAGAGCAAGCACTCCCACAAATATTCTGTTAGCTGAATCAAAACTACCCCTTTTAATAGAGCGTTCTAAATACTTATGTCATAGTTATCTAAACAAAATATATTCAAATAAGGAACTTTCACTTAACCAGACAATTACCAACTTCAATAGATTATTAACAAATAAAGACACCAGTCATCGTAAATTTAGTAATAGAATTTTCCAAACCTGCATTGAAAACACCTACCCTTCCAAAAATAAAATTTACTCCAAAAATAATTTTCCAATATATACAACAAACTATGCAGTACAAACAATCAATGTAAATGTAAATACGGAAATAGGACAAAAACTAAAAAAAAGCAACGACCCTAACTCAGTACTCAACAAAATAATAAGTGAAAATCGGAACGCAAATATCATATTTACCGACGGTAGTAAATCAGCTGATTCAATATCAGTGGGTAGTGCCTGCTTCCACGTAAATAAAAATAAATTTATTGTAAGAAGCATCGATAAAGTCGCTTCCATATTCACCGCCGAATGCCTTGCCATTAACGATGCCGTAGACATCGCGCTCGAGTATCCTAACCAAAGATGCTTTATATTCTCCGACTCACTTAGTGCTCTTCTGTCACTCAAAAATTACAAAAATAACGTCAAAACTAATCCCCTCCTCCTAGAAATTCGAGAAAAAATTTATGAATTTCAAAAGAAAGCACACAAAGATTGCGAAATTGTTCTTGTATGGATACCAGCTCACCTAGGAATAAATGGAAATGAAAAAGCAGACCAACTCGCCAAGGAAGCTGCCAACTCTGCATCTACTGACATTTATAAGATCCCATTTACAGATTTCAAAGAAATAGCAAAAAAGAAATCAATAGAAAATACATTTGACTCAGTCAAATCTCAAGGACAAATCAAAGGCACTGAATACTTCAAAAACTACTACAAAGACAGTTCTAAGCCTTGGTACTTCAAAATCAATCTACCACGGGAAATTATATCTACCATCAACAGATGTAGAGCTGGTCACTACAACCTTGCCTTTTCCTTAGCACGAATAGGAGTCAAAGATAACTCTCATTGCGAATGCGGCGACGAAAATCAAACGATCAATCACATTCTATGGAATTGTTCCTTATACGATCAAGAACGTCAACCATTCATTAGAAAACTGCAAAAACTTAAATTCAGCCTTCCTACATCTTGCGCCACACTTTTAGCGAACCCAAATACACGTATATGTAAAGCTATTTATACTATCTAAAAAAATGTAAACTACAGATTTAAAGTTATTTATGTATGTATAAATATATGTAATATATCTATGTAAAGCCAAATAACTGTCTCACGACAGTTCAAATGCTTAAATAAAAAAAAAAAAAACTGGAGTCGTCTACAAATTCAATTGCAAATCATGCCTAGCGAATTATGTAGGTGAAACAAAACGTAGTTTAAAAAAGAGAATTAAAAAACACAAAGATTCAATAGGAAAAAATAAGTTACCAGTATCTTCTCATATAGAGAATTTTCCTAACCATGAATTTGATTGGGAAAACACAGTTATTTTGGATAGAGAATCAAATTACAAAAAAAGAATTACATCTGAGATGATTAATATTAATATTAGTGATAACACGATTAACAGAAAAGAAGATGTGAAGCTTCTCAATAAACAATACTGTCAGATTGTAAATATTGTAAAAGGGATGCGCTCTTGTCATTGAATTTTTGTTTGTGTTGTTCGAATAGTTCGGGCATCTCCGTTTCGTGCTTGACTCTGATTGGATGTTTAATTGCTTACTATATTGACAGTTCTAGTATAGACAGTTGTACCATGATGAGTAACACTTTGAAATTCACAGTTCATTTTATATCTCTGAATTTTCAGGTTGTTTTGAATAGTAAATATTTTATAAATTTACATTACTATGACTTAAGTTTTCTATAATTATGAGTACGAATGATTTTGTTATTATTGTTTGATGTGTACTGTAGTGTTATGATCATGTCGATTGTTTAAAAAAGTTTTTAATTGTTTATAATTTTTCATAAAGTTTTCCTGAAGAGACCATGAATTTATGGCGAAACGTTGAAATTTCAAGATTGTTGTTTTAATTACATGAGGGATTTTCCTTAACCATCGTTGTACAGTGCCGGTCAGCCACTTTTACCCCCCCACGGGAAAAAATCAGTCTAACTTCAAAGTTTTATATCTCTGGTAGAAATTAACGTACAGAGACGCGCGTGGGTGCGTTTGAAAGGTCTTTCGGAGAGCTTTCAAATGATATGACTCACGGTTGCCATCGATTGTTTTTTTAAATTTTGCAACAATTATGCAAAATTGAAAATTCCGAAATTTTTTTATTATTTTTGACAATTAGCCAATTTTGGAAAAAAAATCGTACGAAAATTTGAAGTACACCATTTTTTAGCTATTACCAAGCCCTATCTGAATCACTCATCAAAAATTTATTTTCGTCAAATATGACGCGCGCTCGGGCATTTTTTCCTGGAAGTGACAGTTTTTTTCAACATTTTTTATCTCCGTCCAATTGTAACAATCAAAAAAAATTTTATAGGAGAAAAAATGTTTGTTTTTTCACGTAGAATACCGCAATAAATTTTTTGTCGGTTTTTCGAAAAATTTTTTTTTTTCGGTTTTTTTCAATTTTTTTTTTCTCACAGTCGGTACGCTAAAAAGATGAGAAACCACAAAAAAAAATTTTTTTCCACCCATTCAATAATACTACATAACAAGTATCGTAAATTACATAAAAAAAAAATCTTTTTTTTTCGACCTTGAAAAATAATTTAAACCGAAAAAAAAAAATTTTTCGAAAAACCGAAAAAAAAATTATTGCAGTATTCTACGTGAAAAAACAAACATTTTTTCTCCTATAAATTTTTTTCGATTGTTACAATTTGACGGAGATAAAAAATGTTGAAAAAAACTGTCACTTCCAGGAAAAAATGCCCGTGCGCGCGTCATATTTGACGAAAATAAATTTTTGATGAGTGATTCAGATAGGGCTTGGTAATAGCTAAAAAATGGTGTACTTCAAATTTTCGTACGATTTTTTTTCCAAAATTGGCTAATTGTCAAAAATAATAAAAAAATTTCGGAATTTTCAATTTTGCATAATTGTTGCAAAATTTAAAAAAACAATCGATGGCAACCGTGAGTCATATCATTTGAAAGCTCTCCGAAAGACCTTTCAAACGCACCCACGCGCGTCTCTGTACGTTAATTTCTACCAGAGATATAAAACTTTGAAGTTAGACTGATTTTGCCCAGGGGGGGGGGGTAAAAGTGGCTGACCGGCACTGTATATGAGATTAGTAATATTTCGAAGGAAAATAAAATAGATTATAAAATAAAAGATATCACCAAACAAACAACTAAACTAGAAACAGCGGGCATTCGAATTGAAAACACATTACCACCAATTGATATCGTAGCGTGCTATAGAATCCCGGGTTCCACACTTTCACAAATAGATTGGAACAACACTATTGGTTGTTGCTCATCAAATCCGAACGCAATTTTACTTGGTGATTTCAACGCACACAACAAAAAATGGAATTTTCCTGACACAGATGTAAACGGCGACAGAATGGATCATAGCATCGACTTAAGGACGTTTCCCTGTTTCTTTTTTCTATGTGAAGTAACCTATATTACCGACGGTTTCTTGAAACTTGGCAACGTCGCGCTTGAGCACACCATGTAAATAAACAGTGGTAACAGCGCCGATGGGTGCGCGTGCGCATGACCGCTTTCATAACCACTATATGATGCGGTGTTGCCATGTTTATTTATCATGCATTATTTTGCTATTATTTTATTTAATATCTTAATGAAAAGCCTTATAACATGGGTCAAAACTTTGAGGGTTGCATCATAAAAAAATCTTTTTGTTTATAATCAAAAAACTGTCTGCATGTGTTATTTGTAACAGGTCCAATTAACCCTTAAACACCCAAAACGCCACTACCGGTACACTGCTCTTCGACGGCCAATAACTAATACTATTCGTAACTAGAAAAAATTGAGATACATACATTTTTATTGCTAAAGATCTCCTCTATCCGATAGTGTGAATAAAATTTCCCCCAAAAATGATTATTTATTGCAAAATGCAGTTTAAACAAAAAAAAACGTGATTTTTCGTGCGTATTTTTTTTTTGTGATCGCTTTTTGAAAGGTTTCCCAGTCTGCAGTATACCTGGGACCTCACTAACCGGTGGAGTAAATGTCTAAACTTTAAGAATCCATGATTCAAAAATCGAATTTTCGTTTTCCTATTTCCAAAATGGCCCCTTAACGGCAATTTTTTTTCAAAATATTCATAAATTTCTTTGCTAAATTGGGTGTACTTTTCGAAAAAACTCTCAAGAGTAAAAAGTTCTTAGAATCAACTGAAAAATACGTCTGAATTTTTTCAAAGAATTTATAGCAAATTTTTTAATTTTGCATACAGGGTGAGTCATTTTAATTTCCCCAGTCTAATAACTTTTGAAACAAGCAAATTACGCAAAAATGTTTCAGACCAAAGTTGTAGGGGTTCAAGGGGGACATCTAGGGGTGATTTTGAAATTGACCTTGAGCTTGACCTTGACGGTTTTCTCAAGGTCATTTCTATTTTTTTAATGGAAACCCCTATTTCTGATCTCAGGATCAGAAAGAGCGGGAAATTTTACGTTCAAGTATCTATTTAGTTTTTTTTCATAAGAACATAAACAATATTTCAGTTTTTACTTAAGAAATTGAAGCCGCTTTCAAACATCAAAAGGTTTAACGAGCATCGAAGACCTTTGTCGTACTTCTATTCTCAATGTGAAGCAAAGGTCAAATTCTTGAAAATTCTCTTATTTTTGTTACATTTCGAGGCGAAGCTTTTATCGCATATGACCGTTGTTAAATAAACTTCCAAAGAATAAGGGACTGGCCATGTACTAACGATGCTGATGTTTAAGATCATAAACTTCCTATCTTTAGCACTACCCAGGAACAACGACGTGGACGTAATAGGATTATGTTCCCTCTGGGGTGCTTTATTAACGTGAGTCCTCTTGCCTCTCATGATTCGGGGTGCTTTATTAACGTGAATCCCCTTGCCTCTCACGATTTGGGGTGCTTTATTAATGTGAGTCCCCTTGCCTCTCACAATTCGTGATGAAACTAGAATAAACTTATTTCCTATCGGTTTTGCTCGAAATTATTACCATTTACGTCGATGCATTGCCTGAGCCTCTGTTCGAAGCTTTCAATAGTGCGCAGTAAGATATCTCTAGAGATTTGTCTACACGCAACTCTAATCCTTTCTATCATATTCTCCCTTGTTGTGGGCGCTTCGGCGAACACAGTATTTTTTAAGTATCCCCAATGGAAGAAATCTGGGGAAGTTAAGTCCGGTGATCGTGCAGGCCAAGCAACTGGACCACCTCTTCCAATCCACCTTTGTTGGAAATTTCTATTTAAAAACTCTCGTACAATTAAAGCGAAATGCGGTCCTGCACCATCCAGTTGTATCCACATTCGACGTCTAGTCTCAAGATCTACGTCTTCAAGTAAAAGTGGGAGATGATCCCTTAAAAGTTCTAAAATAGCATTGCCGTTGACGTTTTCTTCAAAAAAGAATGGCCCGATGAGATGACCATTAACCACACCATACATTTACACTCCAACGATGTTGATTATCGACTGGTCTGTACCAGTGAGGATTCTGATCAGACCAATAATGACTGTTGTGACGATTCAATTGGCCAGTACTATGAAACGTAGCTTCATCAGGAAAAAGGACATAATTAAAAAAATTCGGATCCTGCAAAATCATCTGTAGAGCCCACCGACAGAAATTTACTCTGTTTCTCATATCATTAGCGTTTAATGCTTGCGTTAAGGTAATATGATACGGATGATATCTATTACTTCTTAAAATTCTAATAACGGTTCTCTGAGGTATTCCTGTTTCTCTCTCTATTTGTCGGCTGCTGATATGAGGATTTAGGTGAACCAATCCTAAGACAACCAAAACCCTAGCATCTCTATCATCATACTCATGTCTTGGTCGACTTCTTCATAGATGCCCTTGTCGAGCTCTTTCTTCAAGACGATGAATGGTACGGTGATCAGGATGGCGCCTTTGTGGGTATCGAATTCGATACAACCTTGACGCTTCACGGTAATTACCTCTACATTCTCCTAAAATCCAAATCATATCAACTATCTCTGTTGGGGTAAAATCAGCCATATTTAAAAGATTTTTTCAAAAAACCTCAATACAAATCAACAAAGGCAAAGATCATAGAAAGATGATACAAATTAAATATTACTGAAAACAGAGGCAATATTGTCCAAATTAGATTTCATATGATCGATGGCAATAAGAAAGGTCTCTTATTCAAATATGAAGAAATAATGATAGTGATACAATGAACACAAGCATGGTTAAAACAAAAGTAATATTTAAAGCTTTTTCAAAATTGAAATCACGACTGAACGTATTGCGATTACTTTCTAAACGACTTCCAAATGTAATAGATTCTTCATTGAACATGAAATAGTTTCATTAATTTAATAGACTTGTAATAGCAAATTATTAGCAACAACTTCCAATATTTGAAATTTATTAATAATAATCATACAGTCCGGTGAAAAATAAAAAAGGATAGGGAACGGAAACAAGAATAGTCCCGTAAAATTTAAAAAAATTAAATTTAAAAAATTTTTAAATTTAAAAAATTTAAATCTTGTAAAATTTCCTGCTCTTTCCGATTCCGAGGTCAGAAATAAGGGTTCCCAATAAAAAAATAGACTTGACCTTGAGAAAGCCGTCAAGGTCAAGCTCAAGGTCAATTTCAAAGTCACCCCTAGACGTCCCCCTTGAACTCCTACAACTTTTTTCTGAGTCATTTTTTCGTATTTTGCTTACATTGTTCGATTCTTGTTCCAGGATAGTTTTGACCTTAGCATGACCTTAAGGGTTTATTTTGACCCATGTTAAAAGATGTTATCTGGATGTAAAATTTCCCGCTCTTTCCGATTCCGAGGTCAGAAATAGGGGTTCCCAATAAAAAAATAGACTTGACCTTGAGAAAGCCGTCAAGGTCAAGCTCAAGGTCAATTTCAAAGTCACCCCTAGATGTCCCCCTTGAACCCCTACAACTTTGGTCTGAAACATTTTTGCGTAATTTGCTTGTTTCAAAAGTTATTAGACTGGGGAAATTAAAATGACTCACCCTGTATAACTAATTTTTGCAAAATTCAAAAAATTGCACGAAACGCTCCGGAAAAATTCAGGCGTATTTCTTGGCTGATTCTAAGAAATTTTTACTCTTGAGTGTTTTTTCGAAAAGTGCACCCAATTTAGCAAAAAATTCCCGCGGTTTCTGGTATCATCTAAAGGTGTTGAAGATGATTGATGTGCATATGTATATCTATCGTCTGTCTGCCGCAAACAGAGTTTACGTTGCCCAACTATCACCAACGTGGAGGTCGACGAATCTCGATAGTTTCTTTTTTTTTCTTTTTTTTTATTATTTTTATATTTTTTTAATTTTTTTTTAATATTTTTTTTAGAGATTTTTGAAAATTTCAAGTATTCGTCAATTGAAATCAATTTGATCCTGCTGTTTCAGCAAGCAATAATACATATCGCAATCAATGCAAAATCTTGTAGTCCTTTGACGACATTTTTCAAAATTACATAATAATCTTGTTCTTGACTCGAATCTATGAGTTTTAAAATCGCCTAATTTCGATTGCAACAAATATTTCCTGCTAATGTCTCTACAAAAATCTTTTGTTTTCAATTTATTTTTAGTACTCTTATTGCAAATTTTCCAAATTACTGTAGCATTTGTGATTGATGATTCTATTATTCTTGAAAAAATTTTAAAAGTCTATTTCTTCGAACTGATAGATGGAGAAGCTTTTTTACAACGGAAATCGTGTAAATCTACCCCTCCCATGTATTTGTTGTACAAAGAAAAAGCATGAGGAAATCCTAGTTCTACTCTCTCTTGAGCAGTTCGTGAAAATCTTTTCACGGGTGTTATGGGAGTGACACCAACAGCTGTGGAAAGAATAGAGACTTGTTTTGAGTCTATGACACTGATAAAATTCATACCACTGTTGCTATCATGACTTACTTTGTACGATCCTCGCGGATCTTTTTTTTCAAATTCATGTTTTTCTTTCACTCTATCCTTACGAACAGTTCCTGTTGATCGTAAACCATATTTATTCAGATGAATGAGTAAGTCTGGGCTGGTAAAAAAATTATCAAAGTAGATATGATAATCAGATAACTTTCTTATTGACAGGCCATTCAGAAGGGGATTGATCATTTGCACGACAACTCTCGAGCCAAGTGCACATGCCATTAACTTTATTCCAATACTTGTATCATTTTTGCCACAATAAACATCTACATTGAAAAGATATCCATTGGCTGCACATAAACCCCAGAGCTTTATCCCGTATCTATCAGGTTTACAAAGCAGATACTGTTTTAGGCTGGTACGACCAAAAAATCGAACCATCATTTCATCAACTGAAAGAACTGTTGAGAAAAAACCAAATTGTTGAATGTTTTTCCTGAATAAATTTAATAATTGACGCACTCTCCATGCCTAATCTTTATCATTTCTATCTTGAGTTTTTGAAAATTTTATTTGTGATTTGATTTCACAAAATCTATTACGGCTCATGGCTGAAGCTACAGGAGAACATTTTACAAGAGGGTCAGTTTCCCAATACTCTGATTGATTACTTCGGATATTGTATGATGACAGCACTAATATACCGATAAAAGTGTTGAGTTCTTGTATGGATATTTCTAAGCCATTTTCTCGGCTAGCTTCAATGATATAGTCTTTTATTTCTCTGGAGAAAAACATTTCGAATATTTCCACAGGTGTCATAGATGATATTTTTTTCCTTGTTGCATCTGTCAGAAAGATTTGATCATCTACATTACCAGAGCGAACTTTTTCCCCGGCCTTCCAAGAAAAAACGTGATCTGGTTCCAATTGTTTTTCAGATTCTGAGTAATTATGAAAAGTAGATCTATATGAAACATTTGGTATGGAATATTCCAAGGCCTCATTCTCGTCATCCGACGAGGAGTCTCCATCAGAGCCAGAGTCATCAGGATTTGGTATGATGGTACATTCATCATTTTCATCTGAATCCGATTCGGATTCAACATTTGTTGAAATTTCTGTGGCCCTGCGCTTAGGCATTTTTTTTTCGATGTGTTCGAAAAATTTTAGGATGAAAATCCGGTGAAGGTGTGATGTGGATGTCAGAGTGAGATAAAGGTTATTGAATCATTGGGAATATTTTACTAAAAAACGATGAACTTTCCGAAAAAACTCTCAAGAGTAAAAAGTTCTTAGAATCAGCCAAGAAACACGCCCGAATTTTCCCGAAGCGTTTTGTGCAATTTTTTAAATTTTGCAAAAATTAGTTATATGCAAAATTAAAAAATTTGCTATAAATTCTTTGAAAAAATTCAGACGTATTTTTCAGCTGATTCTAAGAACTTTTTACTCTTGAGAGTTTTTTCGAAAAGTGCACCCAATTTAGCAAAAAAATTTATGAATATTTTGAAAAAAAATTGCCGTTAAGGGGCCATTTTGGAAATAGGAAAACGAAAAATCGATTTTTGAATCATGGATTCTTAAAGTTTAGACATTTACTCCACCGGTTAGTGAGGTCCTAGGTATTCTGCAGACTGGGAAACCTTTCAAAAAGCGATCACAAAAAAAAAAATACGCACAAAAAATCACGTTTTTTTTTGTTTAAACTGCATTTTTCAATAAATAATCATTTTTGGGGGAAATTTTATTCACACTATCGGATAGAGGAGATCTTTAGCAATAAAAATGTATGTATCTCAATTTTTTCTAGTTACGAATAGTATTAGTTATTGGCCGTCGAAGAGCAGTGTACCGGTAGTGGCGTTTTGGGTGTTTAAGGGTTAACCGTTTTAAGTGCGGTCCCATAAGGCCACGTGTTAAAATGCATTTTGATTTTTGTTTATTTCTCTGTATTTAGCATTATAACGTATGCTCAAAAAACGTGTGTGAGTTCAGAATACTTTAAACTATCATAATCCTAAGTTTCAGGCAGATCTATTATTATTTACATAAACAGGGAAACGTCCTTAAATAACATGTTTCTACATAACACAAATACAACAACTCACATAAGCACAGAATACAAAACAAAATCTAACATAGATCTTGTTATATCAACAATGTCTCTAGCTGACAAAATAACACTTGATGTATATGACGAGCCATACAGCTCTGACCATTTCCCTATATTACTGAATGTAGATGCGAGCAAACAAAGTTACCAGCGTAAAACGTTCAAAATCACATCACTAAAAACTAACTGGGGACGTTTCGAAACCCTGCTCGAAAATAGATTAGATCTTTTCTTATCTCATGAGTACGATCAACTCAGCCCGTCTGAAAAATACGATTTTTTTGTTAACACTATAACGGAATCAGTTCACTCACCCACCCCCTGAAAAAGAAATTATGAAAAGAAAGATGCAAAAAATCCAGCTCCGTGGTAGGACTCAGAATGCAATAAAACTAAATGCTTAAAACGAGCAGCATATAAAAAATGGCAGTTCACACAAAATTCAAATGACCATATTGAATACAAAAAAAATTGTGCTCTCGCGAAAAAACTCTTTAAAAGAAAAAAAAAGAATACTTCCGAACCTTTGCTGAAACCTTGAACTTTAATACTAATAGATCATACGTCTGGAACAAATGTAAAATTTTGAACAATAGTTGGGTGAAAATTAGCAACGGAAATCTATTAGATCCAGAAAAAATTAAAGCTCAATCAATTAATTGTATAAACAAGCTATGCCCTTCGTGGGTCAGCACTGATTCAGACTGGCTGCCGTCGTGCAAAAGCAATGAGATTCTTGACAATTATTTCTGCCTTGCTAAACTTAACAAAGTACTGAGCTCTTGCAATGTAAAAGCCTCCCCGGGCATAGATAGCATAGACAACGAGATCATTCAAAAGTTACCGGTTAAATATAGGCTACTATTGCTAGATGTATATAATGAAATGTATCAAAAAAGTGAATTTCCCCAAGCCTGGCAACACTCCTTTACTCACATGATAACCAAACCTGATGGAAAAACCGTTAGACCTATTGCTTTAACGCCTTGTCTGTGTAAAATTCTCGAAAAACTCATAAAATTCAGACTACAATGGTGGCTCGAGCAAAATAATCTCCTTCCGAATGCTCAATCGGGTTTCCGCAAAGGTAGATCTTCCTACGATAACCTGGCATATTTGACTTCTCAAATTGATGAAGCCTTCTCTCAAAAATTAGAGGTATTAGCTGCCTTTTTAGATGTTTCGGACGCATTTAATAACGTACTTTCTGATTGTCTTCTCGAAAAACTCTCTAAATTAAATTGCTCAGCACATCTCATTAAATTCGTAAAATTTCTAACGTACGAAAGATTTTTACACACTGACATTGAAGGAGGACATAATAAGGGAGTCCCTCAAGGAGGAGTACTTAGCCCTCTCCTGTATATAATTTATGTAATGAATATTACCAGTGGTGTTCTTCCTGAAGTCAAAATACTTCAATTCGCGGATGACATAGTCATGTTCGTTAAAGGGCATACTACCAAAGAATGTAGCAGAATTCTACAAGATTCGCTCAATATTATACACAAAAATCTAATCTCTCTAGGCCTGGAACTGTCCTCAGTCAAAACTTCTTTTATTCACTTTAATAATAAAAAAATAATGCCAGGGCTTGTTGAAATTTCACTAAACGGTGTCAGCATTAAATCTACCGAATCGGTCCGCTTATTAAGACTTATACTTGATTACAAAATTTCTTTTGTTCCACATGTCAATATCGTTCTCACCAAATGTAACTCGGCTCTAAACATAGTTAAGTTCTTGTGTGGCACGTGGTGGGGTGCTGATCCATCAACCCTCATTACACTATATAAAAGCTTTGTGCAATCGACTTTAGAATATGGCATTTTCATATACTATCCAACACTAAAAAAATATATGACAAAACTGGAACAAATTCAGTATGCAGCAATAAGGGCAGCTCTTGGCTTTAGAAAAAGTACTCCAACAAATATTCTAATAGCAGAATCGAAACTGCCATATATAAAGGATCGTGCCAGACTTTTAGGAGAAAAGTACCTGACGCAAGCCCTATCACGCAAGAACAATGTAATGCACAGCCACATTATTTATTCAAAAGTAAATAACAAAAGGAAAAAAAAGACTTTTGGTCGAATGCATTGAAAATGTTGCAGACTATGCTTTTCATATAATTGAGCACAACAATTGTCCCATTTATAGCCATGACTACAAAACTAATATGATTTCGATTCCGTACAATAAAACTCCAGTTTACCAATTGAAATAAGAAAACAATCCTAATAATGCATTGAATGAATTCTTGACTAACTACAACTCCTTGAATATATACACTGACGGTAGTAAAACTGTAAATAATAACAACGTAGGTGCGGCTTGCGTAGTTCCAGCACTCATTATCGAAATATACAAGAGTGTCATTAAAAATGCATTTGTCTTCACAGGTGAATGCATTGCCCTTAACTTAGCAATGGACATTGCGCTCCACTATGATGATCATAACATCTTTATTTTTACTGACTCCTTAAGTGTCCTTCAAAGTCTAAAGTCCAGAGATGATAAATTTAACATAAACCCTTATATACTTCTCATAAAACAAAAATACGAATTATTTAAGACCAAAAACAAAAACTTTAATGTTTTCTTTTTCTGGTTACCTTCATACATAGGTATTGAAGGCAATGAACGAGCTGATATTCTAGCGCGAAAAGCAACTAATAAACCATACGTTAATATACAAAAAGTTCCTTTCTCTGATATGTTTGAATATATAAAAAAAGGCTATAGAAAAAACAAATGCCACGACCCTGGAACTAGGACAAACAAAAGGGAGACAATACTGTCAAATATTCTTTAATGAAAGAATTAAGCCCTGGTTTTTTTTTTTTTTTTTTTATTAGCATTTGAAACCTGTACAAAGGATTACCTTATAGGTTTATTTCTGCTATACATACATAACAGTTACAAAATGTTTTTGTTACAGTGTTTTCTTTTGTTACATCTTAAAGCCACAGTTCTTAACAAAGTCAAAAATACATTTACAACCTTCGATATCCGGTTTGGAAATAATCATTTCGACGCAGAGTGGGCGGTACAGTTGTAGTTTAGCTAGTTTTTTATACAATAGAAGTCTTTGTTTTTCGAAAAGTTCACATTGCCATAATACGTGATTGATGTTCTCTTTTTCTTTTCCACAAACGCATATGTCTGTTGTAATTACATTTATTTTTTTGAGAGATTCGGCCATGTGATAGTGACCAGCCCTTATGCGGTTAATTGAGACGATAAGTTGTCTCGGCAAGTTTTTCCCATGAAACCAAGGTTTATTACTCTTACTGTGGTATTGTTGAAAATATATCTTCCC